GCTCGAGTTGGTAAAGCAGATGGGATGCTGCCATAGCAAACAAGCTCCGCGACATCCATCTTGCATTGGGAGCCTGGGGATATCAAGGACTGTCGTGCCGCTTGGAGACTACTTTGGCCTGCCTCTGCATTGACCACACATGGCTGACTCATGGTTTCTTAATGGAGAGGGCATACCCTCCCCATTGTGATAACTGCCTGGTCCCATTGACTGTTCAACACCTCCTGGTAGAATGCCCCAGTTTCAGAGATCTTCATAGTAAACACCTCTCTCAATGCTGGGGGGAGATGGGTCTTACCCTCTCTCTTTGGTGCTGAGGGGTTGAGTAGTGTGGGAGGGGATGTCCTTTCCTTCATCGAGGAAGCAGCCTTCTACACAAGCTTTGAGTTTTATCTATTAATTTTAAGTGGGTTTTTTGTGAAAGTTCTGTGTTATTTTTTACTTATGTTTTTTAACTTTGCATTATTTGATTTTAGTCTTTTAAGCTTTTATTTTAATTCGGCTACATTTGACCTAAGCTGTTGATTCGCCAGGGATGTAATCAATCAATCCTACCTTAATCTGGGTGTTGGGACACATTTTGTTATTGTGCTTGTATTATTTAATAAATACCTATAATATGAACCACTGCTCTGTATCATCATTATTATTAATTAGTGGTACAGTATATGAGAGAGCAGTGGTGGGGCATAGCAGTGCAGCGCAGGTGTATCCTGCTGCCTGGAGCTGATAGGGATGTTGTACAGCTCTCCTTCTGATAACGGAAATACATCCCTTCACGAGTGAAAGAATGACAGGTGATGATGGAGGTGGTTGTGATAATGGAGGTAATGGTGGTGATAGAGGTGGTGGTGAAGGAGCTGGTGATATAGGTTGTGATTGAGATGGTGGTGGTGATGATACAGGTGGTGGTGATGATGGAGATGGTGGTGGTGATGATTAAGATTATAGTGGTGATAGAGGTGGTGATGATTAAGATTATAGTGGTGATAGAGGTGGTGATGGAAATGGTGATAAAGGTGGTGGCGGTGGTGATATAGGTGGTGGTGGTGGTGATGATGGGAGTGGTTGTAATGACTGCTTTTGGCACTATTGCAACGAGTCCCTCTGACACCATTGTAATGAATACCATTGGCACCATTATGAAGTGAGAGTTATAGTAGGGGGATTGCAAAGTGAGGAAAGTTGGTAGCATGGCCCAGTGCTTAGTTAACTGTTTATATGTTCTTAGTGGGAACCATTAAACAATAATTATAAGTACAGCTGTTTATTAGTTAATTAAATGACATGGACACAGTACTAGATCATTATATTGACATTACTAGATAATGACTCCCGGACACATGAAATGGATACTCTTTCACCATATGTAACTCACCCTATGAATCGCTCTGACAATGACTCACTTGTGACCTGAGGGAGGCCCAGCAGCTGAGGACTCTTAACTGCAGGGCCTGGTACTGCGGGGGAGAGTGGTCCTCCCCGGGACCTACAGTCCTGAAAACGTATCCATCCAACACTATGATCGCTTTCTTCCTTATCCACACAAGTATCGTTGACGTGGACTTTTTGTCTACAGATATAATGTTGTCTCTGCTCGCATTAAGTTAGGACACAAACCTATCTGGCCTGTATCTGAGGTGGGGGATGACGTGCACTTCTCATCCTGTAAACTCTGCAACTTTCCCAACACTACTGTATTGCCTTGACTGTCCCACTGTGAGGGACCTCCTACTACAGGGAGAGTCACTAACTACAGTACTATGTCACCACCTACTTATTCGTAATAATTTTAATTTAATTTTTGTATGCTACCGACACTTTGGTGAGTGCTAACTCCCATTGTTGTTAAATCATATCAATATTGTCTCTGTATCACAAGTCACAGCATGTCCTGCAAGACACAAGTATCAATGTATTAGTGTCTGACCGCATGGTCTTGTGACTAGGCTTGTCGCCCCTTGGGGTGTAATAGATTAATTAAATAATAAATGAGAAGCTCAGCATAACTAAACAGATGCTCACAAGCAGCAGATGCAGGTAGTGGGGTGTTAAGCTTCAGAGATAAGTCGCATAATGTCGAGAAAGACCTCAGTAGCTCCATTCCATACCTTGGGCATGCCAAGTAGCTCTCAAGCTCCTTCAGTTGAGGAGTTTGTGGATGATTGTTGCCTCCATAGTGACTGAGTCTGATTAAGACTCACCATGAATTATCCCTCTAATTGAGGTGTGGCTGTGGTGACATCACTTTTCAATTCTAATTGACTAGTAGCTGAAATTTTCGCACCATGTACATCCAAAGAGCAACTGACGTCAAATGAGAAGACCAATCCCCTGAAGGAAATATGGGAGAAAAGAGAGGGGATTTGATGGGTGGGGGGAAGGGGTGAAAAGAGGGTAGGCTAGGTAAGGTGGGTGGTCAAGGTGCTAATGGACACAAGAAGATCAAAGGGAAAGCCCACTATCATGGCCACTGCCACCTGACTTTACCTCACCTCACGAGACTTCTAGGTATGTGACCGCATGGTGTCTCCCCACACCCACAGTGTACCCTTCATGGCTCCACCCACAGAACTATTACTATGGTTAATAAATAATTCATTAATTAAAAAATACAGATAGACCCCGACTTACGACGGGGTTAGGGACCCAAATCCAGGTCGTAAGTCCGACATGGTCGTAAGTCCGACATATATAAATTTTTTTTTTTTTTTTAAATAAAAAATCTACAATGAAATACAGTACAGTAAAAGTAATAAATAATGAGGAATGGATACAGTACAGTGAAAGTAATAAATAATGAGGAATGGATACAGTGTGACTGAGCACTTACCTTTAATGTAGTCAGCTGAATGAACATGGGGCCCCCATAATTTTCTAATTATACATGGAGACTACATTAACTGGAAACGTTTCGGTATAGAAAATGCGTGTCATTTGAAGAGAGAGAGAAAAAAAAAAAATAAACAAATACAGTATTACCCCGCCTAACGCGGTTTCACTTAACGCGTTTTATCATATACGCGGTGCCTCGCCAGAGCTGAACTTTCACTTAACACGGATTTTTTCCACATATACGCGGTGAGTGTCCGGCTCGAGACGCTATTTTTAGATTTGCCCCCACCCTGCCTGACTGCCTGTTTTAGCTCATAAAATTCATACAAATTACCCGGCCAGAATATAATTTACATTGCTGGAATTCTTATAATTTGGTGATCATTTTGAATATAAACATCATATTTTTGCATTAGACATACAAATTTTAGATAAAAATTTTTCTCAAATTAACTATGTTATCTTTTGTGCAAAATATATGACATTTATATTCAAAATATTCCTGGTCTTACAAGGAATCCAGCAATGTCAATTATATTATCCTAACTTTAGTTTGAGGTATTATTTATTAAAATTTAGTGGTTATCCCACACATCTCCTTGGGACGGTTGGTGGGGGGTGGGGGGGAGGGAGGGACCGACCGACCATCTGTTACCCTGTGAAGAATTATTTTTTTTTTTATTAACTGAAGATATTTGTTTTAGCTCATAAAATTCATACAAATTATCCGGTCTGAATATAATTTACATTGCTGGAATTCTTATAATTTGATGATCATTTTGAATATAAACATCATATTTTTGCATTAGACATACAAATTTTAGATAAAAAATTTTCTCAAATTAACTATGTTATCTTTTGTGCAAAATATATGACATTTATATTCAAAATATTCCTGGTCTTACAAGGAATCCAGCAATGTCAATTATATTATCCTAACTTTAATCTGAGGTATTATTTAATACTAAATGTTAAAAACCCTGGAAGGGAGGATTGGTGGGGGGTGGGGGGGAGGGTTGGGACTGACCGCGCGGTTGGAAGAGGGGGGGAGGCAAGGTGGGGTACTTTGATTGACAGATAGTGTTGTGAAGATTATTATTTTTTTTATTAACTGAAGATATTTGTTTTAGCTCATAAAATTCATACAAATTACCCGGTCAGAATATAATTTACATTGCTGGAATTCTTATAATTTGGTGATCATTTTGAATATAAACATCATATATTTTTCATTAAACATACAAATTTTAGATAAAAATTTTTCTCTAGGTAACTATGTTATCTTTTGTGCAAAATATATGACATTTATATTCAAAATATTCCTGGTCTTACAAGGAATCCAGCAATGTCAATTGTATTATCCTAACTTTAGTTTGAGGTATTATTTATTAAAATTTAGTGGTTTTCCCCCAAAAATTTCTCTGAGAGGGAAGAGCCAGCGAGTGTAGTGTGAGAGAGGGAGGGAGTTGAGTCCATTATTTGAATGGACATTAACTTGGCGACTGTATTTCTCTTAAGTATTAATTGTGTGCATGTACCATCATAAAATTAAGATGTTATTTTTACTACAACATAGGTATGTGCCTTCAAAAAGTGGAGTTTGGGGGTCAGGCCGGTTTCTATTGGAATTAATCCCATATGTTCTGTTGTTCACTTAACGCGGATTTCACTTAACGCGGGACCCTCTGGGTTCAATTGACCGCGTTAAGTGGGGTACAACTGTAATAAAAAATCTGCGGCGGTCGTAAGTCCCGATGGTCGTAAGTCGGGGTCTGTCTGTATATTAGTTTGCCACAGACATTAAAACTTTTTGTTTGGGTCATGTAATGATTCACGATTTTTGTTTTTCAATTGTATTGAAGTAAAAGTATTAGAAAACCATACTTAAGTAAAAGTTCTAAAAAATTGGAGTACTTTTTAAAAAGTAAATACCCAAAAATGTTACTCAAGCAAACTTAAGTAATTACTTTACAAATCTGTCCATCCACTACCTGCACCCTACAGTACTTTTAGCAAACACAAAACCATTCAGATTTAGTAGACACTTCTACTACTGTACTGGTGTATAGTACACTACAGGGAGGATTCTGTTTTAATCTGAAAATAATTTTATATCAACGGTATTGTTTATCAGTATTTAATAATTATTTTAAACACTTCCATAGGTTTGGGTTTGTTGATGCTCTTGAAAAAGCAGCAACCAGAGAAATACAAGCGTCTGTATGAACGTCTTGTGACTCCTTCAAAGTTTGGGGGTCCGTGTCCCCCTCCATCCTTCCCGGGGTCTCAGGAGTTCTTCAGAGACTTTATAACTACTGCATCAAGCTATGTGTTTAACCAGCATCTGAAGGATGTCTTAATAAGCCATATACAGATGCTTAATGATCAAGAATTTGTGATCTTAGAACCAGAGGAAACAGGTAAGTTGGTGACACTTCAGTATTTTGAGGTACAGCATGCCCTTCAAATTCGAAGGGGTTAGTTTCTCTAAATGTCCGCGAATCGCCAAATCCGCTAATAACATTTGCTTACAGGGGGATTAAATTTTTACTTGTGTACAAAGAGATGTATACAAGTGCTCCCCGACTTACAACGGGGTTAGGGACCCAAATCCAGGTCGTAAGTCCGACTGGTCGTAAGTCAAACATAGATAAAAAAAATAAATAAAAAAAAATTCAAAATTCAAAATTTAAAAAATAAAAAATAAATAAAAAATCTACAAAGAAATACAGTACACTAAAAGTAATAAATAATGAGGAATGGATACAGTGTGATTGAGCACTTACCTTAAATGTAGTCAGCTGAATGCACACAGGGCCCCCATAATTTTCAATTTACGGTATACATGGAGACTATGTTAATTGGATGAAGCAGAAGAGGAGACAGGGCTGGGTGGGTCATCAATGTTGGTTTCTTCAGACAGGTTTATGTGCTATGGAAACTTGCTGGTTGAAGGTATTGGATCATCTTGAGGGAGTGAAGAGGCAGCACTGGTGGGGCTTCTTGAAATAGATATCCAATTTAGACTGCACAGTTTGCTTTTTCTTTTCATTATAAATCTCCCTGTAGCAAGCAAGTGCATCTTGGACCATTCTGTCAACTTTGGCATAACGCTCATAATTTTGATCCATGCCATCAAACATTTGCATTCCTTTATTAATTGTAGCAAATGTCTCTGCCATATGTTTCACTGAAAATTTTTTGGGGGTTGCAGGTTCTTCTACATTTTGTCTCTCTTCTTCCTCTGCAATTTTCTGTGCATCTAGTTCAATAAGATCCTCGTTACTGAGCTCTTCTGCTACACTTTCAACCAACTGTCCAACATCTTCATTATCAATTTCTATCTCCAGCTGTTTACCTAACTCCACTATCTTGTTACTAATATCCAAAATAACTTAATTTTAATTAAATCCATTGAAACTGTTCCCATATCTTTTCAGGATTTTCTTCCATATTCCATTCATGCAATGTTTTGTAACCTGATCCCATGCTGCACTAATGTTCTTTATACATGACAAAACGTTGTACTCCTTCCAAAACTCTCTGAGCGTTTTCTCACCTTCAGAAGCAGCGACAGCCTGAGCGAAGGTCGTGCGTAAATAATACGCTTTAAAGGCAGCAATAGCACCTTGATCCATGGGTTGGATGATAGAGGTAGTGTTAGGTGGAATGTAGACTACCTTAACATCAGGGTGCATGTCGTCCAGGTGTGGTGGGTGTCCCAGAGCATTATCCAAAATCAGCAAAATCTTGAATGGAATCCGTTGTTGCAGACAATACTCCTTGGCTCGTGGAATAAAACAAGTCATGAACCAATCCTCAAACAGTACTAGGGTCATCCAGGCTCTCTTATTACTGCGATAAAACACTGGCAGTGTGTGCTTGCTGACATGTTTAAATGCCCTGGGGTTCGCTAAATGATAGATCATGAAGGGCTTTAGCTTGAAACCAGCAGCATTCCCCCCCCCAACAGAAGTGTAATTCTGTCCTTGAATGCCTTGAATCCTGGCATTGTTTTCGCCTCTTTGTGGATGTATGTCCGCTCAGGCATGCGCTTCCACAATAATCCAGTCTCATCCACATTGAATATGTGCTCGGCAAATAATTCCCTTCCACAATCACTTCATCTAACTCCTCCTTAAAAGCTTCGGCAGCACCAACATCGGCACTAGCTGCCTCTCCACTCGCCTTAACATTGTGTAGACTGTAGCATTTTTTAAATCTATCAAACCACCCATGACTTCCTGTAAAGGTTTGATCACATTCATCTCCTGCCTGCTCCTTCAGGCTTTGGAACAGGCTTCTTGCTTTAGCCTGTATGGTTAGAAGGCTTAAGGGTACACGCTTCTGTATCTGGTCTTCTATCCATATCACCAATAAATAATTTTTCCATATCATGAATAGGACCTTGTCTTTTCTTTGATATTATAGTTCCCTTTATAGGTGTTGTTCCTTTCACTACTTCACGAATACGTTCCTTGTCCTTCAGAATAGTGGATATAGTCGAGTGTGAGAAACCTAGGTCGTGTGAGATTGTTACTACAGTTTTTCCATTCTCATGCTGTGTTATTACCTTCATTTTCATCTCAAAAGTAATTGCCTGTCTCCTTTTCTTTGGAGCACCACCAGCACTCTCACTCTTATGCTTTCCAGTCATCATAAAGTTAATTAAATACGATAATAACGAAAGTTCACAGCACGATCAGTATACGATACGATAGCCAAACACCAACTAAGCGCTCGACTGAGTGAGTGTACCCACGATGCGACCCAAGCCGCGCCACGCTCTCGCCCAGGACGGAAACGTTTCGGTATAGAAAATGTGCGCGTCATTTGAAAATATTTTTGGTCATGACTGCCGCGGTCGTATGTCCCGATGGACGTAAGGTCAGAGCAGGTCGTAAGTACCAATGGACGTAAGTCCAAGCAGTCGTAAGTCGGGGACTACCTGTATTCCCTTTATGTGTTTGCCCTAAGGACAATTATTTCTTTTACCTGTACGTATTGTATATACGTGTGTGTGTGTAGATACACACACACAAAACACATGCAAGTAAATAATAATGGGAAAATACTCTCATAAATAATCAGAAAAAAATTTATATTAAAAATGTTTAGTGTACCCTCAAGTCTACTCTGTGCTTTGTTATTAATGAAGCACAGAGTAGACTTGAGGGAAGATGCAACATTTTTAATATACAGTACATTTGTTTTTGATTATTTGTGAGAGGATTTTCCCATTACAGCTCCTCCCTGACTTACGGCGGGATTAGGGACCCAAATCCAGGTCGTAAGTCAAAATGGTTGTAAGTCGAAAATGCTTAAATAATACAAAGAAAATCTAAAATGGGTGTCTCTTTTTCTTCTCAGCACCACAAAACTCTCACTTTTAAGCTTGCCAGCCATTTTAAAGTGAATTACAAACAAAAATTTTGTCTGTGTACTGACGTTGGGAATCGAAAATACATAATTTGACAAAATTTTGGTACCACTGAGGCAGGTCGTAAGTGCGGTTGGTTGTAAGTCGAGTAGGTCGTAAGTCGGGGAGGAACTATAATTTAATTGTATGTGTTTTTGTGTTGTGTCTACTCACACACACACACATATATATACAATACAGGCAAAGGAATTTACTGTCTCTAGAATGAATGTCTCCCTATCCCGGCCGCAAAAATCCCAGCAACTTTAAAACTACCCACAGACATTCTTGGGTACATCCAGGGTGCCATCCGTGAATAATAAAGGACCGCGAAATAAAAATCCGCTAATTATCCGGGTGTACTGTACTGTACAATTGCTCCAAAAGATATCTTACACGATTTTTTTCTGCCAATAATACGCAACGGACAAAGCATTTTGAGAACCCTACTGGACGTACTTAGCAGAGCTATTTAACATAGCCTCCGTCCTCATTTAACACTCATAGATACAGTGATTAAGTTACGGTGATAATCCTTTTTGAAAGTGTACATAGAAACCTTTTATAATAAATACAACCAAAAGGAAGATATTAGATTTCACGACAGAAAATCCAATAAATTTTGATCTATATTTTAGTACGTCTAAAATATAAAGTAACATGCTTCACAAGTGGTTGTTACAAGTGGTGACAACCCAGAAAGGTTGTCACATATATGACAGTTTCACAAGTAACTGTTATATTCACGGTAACAGTCACTTCAACAGATACACAGTTGGTAAAGGCAGAGATATTATGTTCTCCCCATGACTGTGTCTTACTGTTACGTTGTTACTAAAAGGAGCAAACCGTTACAAGATTATTATCCTTCCTGGGGGGAAAAAAAGTCCGCATTTTCTACATCTATGGTTTGAAAAATTATTTAGATACAAACGAAAAAAAAAACCTTGTCCATCCATTTACTGTAAATTGATATAAATTATAAGTAAAATAATTAAAATATCAATAGATGAAAAGGTGAAAAATAAATACTGGAAATTATATACATCAGTACAGGTTATACCTCTCTAGTCCGGCATTCTGTGGTCTGGAAACTCCCGTGGTCCGGCACGATTTTAGTTTTCCCAATAGGTAGATACTGTAGGCAATTATTTTTTTTTTATCTGAATTATTATTATTATTATTACTATTATTATTATTATTATTATTATTATTATTATTATTATTATTATTATTATTATTATTATTATTATTATTATTACAGGAGTATTACATTTTTGCCTATCAGGCTCGAATGTGGGTCAGTGACCTGTGCCCGGGTGGGCTAATCCCCGTAAAAAAAACAACAACAAAGGCGCCGGAAATTAGGGTTTGTTTACATCCGGCAGTTCGGCTCTCTCTCTGTTTGTCTATACAGAGTACAACATTTAATCCTTCAATATGTCTTCAAAGAAACCACGAAGCAGTGATAGTGGTGCTAATGCTTCCAAGCGTAAGCACAAGTCAATATCTATCCAGGAAAAGGTTGAACTATTGCAGAAATTAGATAAAGGTGCTTCAGTACGCATGTTGGGTCATCCACGTTCTATGACATAAAGAAGCAGAAAGACAAGATATTTAAGTTTTTTGCAGACAGTGAGACCAAGAAAGTTATGATAACTCGTAAGACATTGAAAGAAGGCAAAAGTAGTGAGTTAGACAGTACTTTATTACAGTGGTTTAAGCTTTGGCGTAATGATGGAGTAAGCATTTCAGGCGAGATGATTGTGGCGTAAGCAAAGATCTTTCATGAACAACTAAACCTTCAGCATGCCTGTGATTATTCGCAAGGATGGTTACACAAGTTTAAAAATAGGCATGGTATTTCTTTACATTATGTGTGTGGTGAAAAGCGAGGTGTAGACAGTGAAGCAGCTGCCAAGTATGTGGACAAATTCGCACAGTTTGTGGCAAAGGAGAAGTTATCCCCAGAACAAGTGTATAACGCTGATGAGACTGCTC